GTTTTGTGAAGATTGTTGCTGCTGCAACTGTGGATGTGGTTGCTGCAACTGTTGCTGTTGTTGCTGCAACTGTTGCTGTTGCTGCTGCAACTGTTGCTGTTGTTGTTGCCGTTGCAGGTTGACTGTAGAAAAATTCGGTACGACTTTCTTGCCCATCGCTACCCTTAGGCCCGGTTTATCGAGTCCCGAATAGGGGTGTGCTGATGATAGGGATGGACTGTTAGATCGGAGATCGTCCATAGTCGAATACGGACTGTCTAGGTTTGTTGGCATTTTATTGATGTTGCTGTTGTTGGTGGTTGTGTTGTTGCTGTCGGTGCTGATAATGACGTTGTTGTTGTTGATGATGTTGTTGTTGTTGATGTTGTTGTTGTTGTTGATGTTATTTTCGTCATCATCATCATCCGACCAACTTACCCTTCGTCGTCTACTGGAATATAAATTTTTTTAAATTATTAATTAATTAGTTGTATCATCATCACAATCATCACCATCACAATCATCATCATCATCATCACAATCAACGTCATCATCATCACAATCATCATCATCATCATCACAATCATCATCATCTTTGCAGCCATCTTAGTCACCTTCTCCTGCCCCCAACGACAACATCTGGTCTCGACATACTCAGCGCGTTACTCGAACCGATATCGAAACTAGCCATCTCTAAATCGTCCATCTCTACTTTATTATTATTATTATTTATGTTGTTGTTGTTGTTGTTGTTGTTGTTGTTGTCATTTTGTCGTCGTTGTTGTTTTTTGCGCCAACACAGAATGATTGGCAGAAAGATAAGACCGCCCACCAATAATAATCCTCCGACGACAGACGCACTGGCTATGACTGGGATTTCCCAGGAATTATTTTTAGAACCATTATTATTATTATTATAAGTAGAATTATTGTTGTTATTGCTATTAATATTATCTTTAGTTGAAGTTATAATAGTCAAAAAGTTGTACGCGAATGTAGTTGTTGTGTATTTCATGTTAGTTTTGGTGGTGGTGTCAATATTATTCGCATAAGTAGTAGTATTCGCACCGTTGGTTCGGTAGGAAACCGTTGTAAAATAGTTTTTCAAGATAATATTCAGGTAAGTATTGGCGGTGTAGGTGACATCTTTATCGATAGCTGTGGCCTGTATGATGAGGTTAAAGGTTTTCTGGGAGTTTGAGATCGGCAGAATTGATTCTATTGGCACATCTCTCGTTCTTATAATTCCGGTATTCGAATCTACGTAGACCGGTATATCAAAGTTGTTGTTGTTGTTGTCACTGTTGTTGTCGGTGATGACCAGTTTATAACTGACCGAATAATTTTTGTTACCGGCAATGCTTCCACCACCAACAAACGTGGCGACGACCTTACCGACGGTTAGATTCGGTTTGTAACTACTCGAATCTATATCGAACGAATAGTTGGAGCTCTCGAAAACAAGCTGAAGTTTCATGTTAATGAACACCACTTCGACCTTTCGAACGTCTGCCAGTAGATTGTTTCTCATTCGAAAGCTCGTCAAAACGGTTAGCGATATTTTGTTGTTCAGTTTGCTTAATACGGCTAGATTATTTACGGTTAAAGATCCGGTATTCGGGTCGATAATTATGATATCATCATCATCGTCGTCGTTGTTGTTGTTGTTATTTGCGATGATGTCACTGCTATCTACATTGTTTATTATTTCGTATTTCACATGAGCAAGACCATCGTCGTCGTCAGAATTACAAGAGGAGAGATGGGCCGATACCTTGCCGATCAAGTAATTATTCGATACATTTGTAACATTCCCATCGATAACAAATGAATATGCATCGGCAAGGAATTTCAACGAGTAGTAATTGATCGGACTGATAATTGAAATGTTGACGTAATTAATCCGACTCAAACCGTTACAACACGATGCAAAGATGGCTAAAACGTACCGATTTAAGTATCGATAATCGGCAACACTATTTGATAAAATTAGCACATCTCCGATAAGTCTAAATGGCGTACCGTTGAGATTTGCGATTTGAAATTGAACCACCGAATTGACATCATTCAACAATTTCAACCTCACCACCACGTGACCAACTTCGACATTGTTGTAAACGATGACGTCATTATGGGGATGCGCAAGTAATAATCGATTGAATAGCGAGTCATTTCGAATCGATGACGGTACTCGGTATAGATGAACAGCGGTTGATGAAAAGGATGAAGATGGTAGATTTATATTTCTGGCATAAACAATCAGTGATGTATTGGAAGTCGTCGGTAATTTCTTTTTCAACGTTAAAATACCGGACTCTGTGTCGAGATCGATTAGATCCGAATAGTTTTGAGATATGCCATCCGTGAAATATCTGACCGGAGAATCTGTGTCGCTGCTTTTCATAGTGGTATCGTGATCGTTTTAATAAATTTCATTGCAAATTGTTTGAATAAAGTTATAAAAAAATTGTGATTAAATAAATATTTTCAGTAATTTTAATATAGTTTTAAAAGCACAAACCTGACACCTATCGTCCCAACAATGTAGCCTAATCTTGCATTTTCCGGTACACCGAACCAATATGAACTCTTCGCAAAACTAGGGATGTACTGATTATTTTTGAAAAACTCGACGGTGCAATTGCAAGTTTTTGTGATTTGAGGACCGTATTGCGCCGGTCTCAGAATGACGTCATATTGAAAGAACATCACTTGATTCGTGTTGTACGTGATGACGTTGATGATGGAAGCGAGCCATGAACTGAAGTGATTAGAGATGTAACTACTTTGTGGGGTTCGGTATCTCGAGCAGATACGGTTATTGTTGACGATGTTACTTGTTAAATTTGAAAGCGTTAATATGATCGGTTGTTTATTTGCAATACCGACATCGTATCGAATATTTGTGACATCACACGATGGCTGCACATTGTTAACATTCAACACATCAATTGACACCATCGTCACCGCGATGAACCCGGATTTTTTTGCACTAACTTTCACAACAAATTCGGTATTCGTTTCGTAATCGATATCTTTCGAAACCGTTACATCACCAGTTATTTCATCGATATTGAAGCTATTTCCGTTGGCGTCGCTAGAAATATAATACCGAACCGTATCATCTTTGTTAGCTGACGGTGTCAGTCCGAAACTGTCGGTATAAGCGTAGCATCTCTTTTCGGTCTGCAGGTTCTTACCAACTGCATCATTTGTGGTAACGGTCAGCACATACGTACCGATCGGTGAATGTTCAAGTAGCGTTCCGGTAAATATCTCAGCGAATACCGGCTTAGAATCGATAGTTTCAGTGGTGTCTACTACGATTTCAGCGATGGAATAGAAGGACGAATAGTGAGGTTCCTAAAATGAAATAAATACGTTTATCATCGTCATCATTAATCAATCAATCCCTCAATTTATTATTCAAATTACTTTAAAAAGCAACTTAATGTGTAATGTGATGTAATTAAATATGAAATGTGTGTTCCGAGTTTTATCCAGGCAGTCAACATCGCTAACATTATACGAAGCTCTGACAAATAAACGGTATCGATTGAAACCGCCAAGATTCGATATTCGCTTCAAAGTTACAACTCCGCTGCTAGCATCCACCGAGAAACGGTCGCCATTGTCACTTTCACTTTCAATTTTGTACACCACCGGTTCGTTGTATTCGCTATTCGCTAGAACCGACACGATCATCGTACCGACTTTGCTATTTGTCGATATCGTCGAGTGGTACATCCACTGTTTGAAGCGTGGAGGAAGCAAGCGTTTTGTGACGAGTATGTTGATTGGTAGGTTGAAGAGTAGAGATGGAAGAGTTTGGTCGGTAGAGCTCGTGTGAATGTACAAAGATATGTCGATTGAAAAAGATGATGATGAAGAAGATGAAAATGATGATGACATTGATGATAACTTGATGGTAGTATCATCATTCGGTGGTTTGACAATCCCAGAACCATTAAAAGCATTCACGGCAAAAAGATGGTATGCATTGCCGGCAACAATTCGGTAGTTGATTCGGTTCCGCTGTGACAGTCCTGTTGTTAGTGCGAAAGGTATGCTGTAAAATATCGAGTCGGATGCGTAATTATCGAGATTTAAGTTCACTTTTGGCAAAGAAGTGATGTTCCTGTAAGTAATCGGAGTGAAGGGGAATTGGGACGATGAAGAAGGTGTAGATGGAGCAGAAGATGATGTGATTATTATTTTCACGTCACTAGATAGCGCTGGTGAACCCTTGAAGTAGAAAAATGAATACAAGTTATGAAAGGTTAGCATTTCTTTGAAAATATTTAAAAAAAATTGAGCGGTATTCCTAGCAAAAGATGAACAACAATAACGACACCACCACAGTAGAAACAACAACAACAACAACAACAACAACAACAACAACAACAACAGCAAACAATCCCTCACCAAATCAGTTGCCCTGGCAATTAAAACCCATCCACTAGCTAGATTAATATCCGATCTTCGAATATCGGTTCTACTGTAGACTATACCAATGTCCGAGTCGATATAAAACTTGTCGGTATAATCGGTCGATACGATGCTGTACTTGACGGAGCCGTTCGAGCCAAGATCGGTATCCGTTGCTTCAATCCCGATTATATACGAGTCTGTAAGTAAGTTGGGATGATGGTGATGATGATGATGGTGATGATGATGATGATGGTGATGATGATGATGGTGATGATGATGATGATGATGTTGATGATGATGGTGGTGGTGATGATGATGATGATGATGTTTGAAAAGATAAATCTTTTGATGGCGGATATAAATATTAATACAAATTAAAACAAAGATATAAAAATAATAAAATACTGGACCTCGTTTCAAATCGTCCGTGAGATTAACTCGATATTCATCATTCACAAACTTTGGTTTGTTGTCATTAACATCGAGAACATTAATAAGAAGAGTTGTTGTGGATGTCCTTGGGATCGAACCAAGGTCCTTCGCTTCAACGGTCAATTTGTACTCACCAACGCGCTCTCTATCCAGTTTGG